TAAAGTCACGACATACACGATATCACAACCCACGATATATAGCGCGAGATCGAGATTGAACCAGTGACCAATCGATCTGCAATCGAACGCTCTACTACTGAGCTACCCGCGCGAGATCCGGTGGTGTGGGTCGAGTGGTCAATGCTTCTGGACCTAACGTTGTGTGGCGCGGGTTCAAGCCCCTCAGCGGACAAAATCGTTATCGTACCAGACATGCAAGAAATGTTGGCTGCATGCAAAACATTACCGATAACAGCCAATAAGGACTTCGGGATGGCGACTCGTACAAGAAAAATCAAGAATTAAAATCAAGGAAAAATAATACCCCAACGGAATGAAGCAAAGTAATGTCTTAGTCAGGGCCGAGTAGGTATAGCCGTGTAATAAGATAACACATGGCAACTTTCAACTGAGCTACCCGCGCACTTCTCAATTTGCGCCCAGCCCAATAGCTCAAATCCAAAGAATTCATTTTTTTAACCATTTTTCTCTGCCACATACTCAACGATACTCTTCATGAAATCAGCCAACATGCTTCCAACCGTCGCCCAGATGCTAACTGAGTTGGGACATAACCCGGACAATGTATCCAGTTTGCGTCCCGTCTCCACGACTGAGTCTGATCTGTTACCCAGTCAGCGTACCGTTTTTGAACGCGTACCCAGTGTGTACTCACTAATTCAATCGCCTGAACAGCTGGAAAATTTGCCGGCCGTTACCGATTCATCTCCGGATACCACGGAAGCGCCTCCAGCAATTATGGATGTGGACGATGCCGTGCCGGCTCCGCCTGTTGTGACCCCGACTGCACCAGCTCCTGTCACCGCTCCTGCACGCCCGTCTTGCCTGTTGGATGTTAATTGTATGTGGCATCGCTGCGTCGTGATAATGTCGCCGTGAATCTCGCACAACTGCGTGTGGAACCCCCAAGCCTCTTGCGAGGGACATCAAAGCTATAGAAGCGCTGTACGACAATGGTTGGCCGCGGCTGTCTATCGCTCCCAGCATCACCAGCGCCCGTATGTATCAACTGCCTCGTGCGCGGTATGCGCTTGTGTTGGAAACTGGGGGGTCGTTCGCTCGAATTGCACCGCATACGATCTGCAATCGTTTGTGCGCGACCACAATAACCCTGTGCTTGCCGAACTCTGACAATCTCGTTGGTCAGCTGTCCAAGCTTCCAGGCGGAAACCTTCGCTTGAAGGTCAAGACGCGTGATGCGTGTATGAAGCTCGAACGGCAAGCTATTTAACTCTTGGGAGGATCGCTCAAGTTTAAAGAGTTCAACGTTTTGGAAAAGAAATACTTTCTCGATGTAGTCAGCATCGACAGTGACCTAGACTCCGATTGCATGATGGAGCGTTTGTTTCCTGCACATGAGAAGAACGCGCCATACCCATCTGAGCTTCTGCCATTCGGTTACCGCTCTGCGTATGCAATCGATTTAACCGACCACACACCGCTGCGTGAGAGTTCGGTTCAGCCCCCTCAAGACCTTTCCCGTTCTCGTTCGAGTTAGCCTACGTCGCAAGCTATTCGGCACTTAGACTCCTCGCTCCAGCGTACCATTGTAACCAGAACTACAGCAACCCCGGCGCCCTCGTCATCGGCTCTCGTTGTTCTCCCACCCAGTCCGTCTGTTGATCTCTTGATCAGTAGTCCATCAAGTCGAATGCTTACACCACCACCCAGTCCTCCGCGCCGTCTTGGCCCTGTGGCTGATACCGCGATTATTGCACGTCGCCGCAAGACAAGCGTTCGAGAAGTGCAGATAATTTCTCGCATCACACCACCAAGGAACGCCCCAAAGATGTAACTGGTGTTACTACTAGCATCTATTTCAGTGTGATCGAGCAAATCGAGACGGAATACGAGCTTGTCGAGTCGCATCTTGGTCCTGATCTCGGTCCAAGTTTTCAAATCAAGCCTACCGTAGTCCATGTCCCCGATGCCGTGAAGAAGTTGGCCGAAGCCTCGCACTTCCTGACCAAGCATCCTACAAAAAATTGTGAAGACCTCCAAACCGATTCCGGTTGCGGAAACTGCTGAAGCCATGATCAGTGATGTTGTCAGCGTCGGATTGGACCTCCGCCTGGATCGCATTTATATGGCGGCATTGCGTGTGACATCGGCGCACAAGGTGCTCAACCAGGCTACGAATGCGGACAAGCTGATCCAGTTTGCTCGCCAATCATCACTCGCATTAAATCACGCCATCCTCGAGCAGATGCGTGATCAAGACTGCACTTTTCA